AGTATGGGTTGTCTCCTCTCATGTGATTTACTCCCTCTAAAACACATTGGAGGGTCAGCTCTGGGTCAGTTCTGACTCAACAGTAAACAGCAACATGAATGCATAAAAATTGACATGTACAAAACACAATGTATATCAATGATAATATGAAAACCAATACAAACTTTTAAAAAAACGAACAGTGTTGTACTTCAGGATAGAGCTTTCCTTTTTGTTTTTCCTTATTTGAGTGAAAGTTTACAAATCATGTAAGTTTTTCATTTATATCCATTTTGTTTTATAACATTGAAAATCACAGTTAAATATGGTCTCTCCTATGTATTTTTAAAAAACTATTTAAAATAGATTAATTTTAAATGAATTAATAATGTTGTTGTTATGGGCCATCAAGTCCCCTGTGACTCATAGTGATCCTATGTACAACAGTCCTAAGCCCTGCTCTATCCTGTGCCAATCTTATTGTCTTTGACACACTTACTGCCACTACCCCAGTCACCGAATCCATGTCATGTAGGGTCTTGCCCTGTCCCCCCACTCTCCCAAGCATGACGTCCCTCTCCAAGGACTGGTCTCTTCTTGCAACATTTCCAAAGTATGTCAGACAAAGCTTCCTTGCCTCCAAGGAGTAACCAGATTTCACCCTCTCCAGGAAGAACATATTCATTCTCTTAGCAGTTCATGGTATATTTAACAGTCTTCTCCAGCACCACAGCTCAAAGACATCAATTCTCCTTCTATCATCCTTAGTCATTGTCCAGCTCTCTGATGCATAACAAGCGATTGCAAAGACCATGGCCTGGATCCAGTGCACCTTAATCTGCAGGCTGACATCATTGCTCATCAGTACTTTGGAGAGGTCTCTGACAACAGTCTTTCCCAATGCAATAAGTCTTTTAATTTCCTGGCTGCTCTTTGTGTGGAGCAAAGCAAACTAAAGCTGTTTACAACCTCAATATCTTCACCTTCCACCACAATTCTGCCAATCGGCCCAGTGGTGAGAATCTTTGTTTTCTTGATATTGAGCTTCAATCTGTATTGAAGGCTGCATTCTTTGAACTTCTGTAGCATGTGCTTCAGGTCCTCCTCAGTTTCAGCAAGCAGGGTTATGTCAACTGCATAACACAGATTGTTGAGGAGTCTTCCTCCAATCCTAATGCAACATTTCTTCTCATAAAGCCCAGCCTCCTGGATAATCTGTTCTGCATATAGATTGAAAAGTTCACATCACTGGCATACACCCTTCCCTGTTTTGAACCATGCAGTGTTCCCTTGCTCTGTTCTGATGACTACCTCCTAGTCCAGTATACAGTCAATTAAAAAAAACACCTTTATGTGACATTAAAATTTTAATTCCCAGGGAATGCACTGTCACATTTGAGAACTATTGGCAAAATGTGTGCTTTACCCGTTACGTGGAGGTTTTCTGGTGACAAACAAGATGGCAGAAGGCACCAAGGAAAGATGTTAATGAGGCCTGACTTTGCTTTTTTCATTCTATCCTCAGAAGAAATCAAAGAACACAATCCATTAGACAAATCTACTTTCAAGGACCTTGTTACAGTATAAGAGAGAAAGGATGTTGCTTTGAGTCTTAAGGTGCAACTAATCCAATTGATTGGTATTTTCAAGGGCTCCTTGGTAGCCCAGTGTGTAGGGAGTTGCACTGATAACTCAAAGATGGGACTTTTCTGGCAGTTTCCATCCACCAGGGACTCTGCAGAAGAAAGGCGGACAATCTCCTTTTATGCAATTCAAAGCCTCTGAAAATCTGGTGGAGGGTCAGTAATGAGTTTGTTTCCACTCAATGTCAATGGTATTTATTGAGTCATATGCATGTGAAAGTTGGATAATTAAGAAGACTTTAGAAGAACTGTGGTTGTATACTGTGGAGTTGGAACTGACCCATAGTTTACCTTCCAGGAGGTTTTCAGAGACAGTTGATCTCACAGGAGGAGATTGCCCATCCTTCTCCCGCGGAGCAGCTGGTGGCCTCGAACCATGTGCCTCCACTATTGCAGCACAGCTTCTTGGCACTAAGCCACCAGAACTCCCTTTAGAAGAACAAATGCCTTTAAATTACGGTGTTGAATATACCACGGACTGCCAAAAGAAGAGACAAATCTGTCTTGGAGGAAGTACAAGCAGTGTGATGATTAGAAGTAAACATGGTGAGACTTTGTCACACATATTTTGGGCATATTTCCAGGAGGGGTTAGTCCTTGGAGAAAGACAGCATACTTGGAAAAGTTAAGAGTCAGTAAAAAAGGAGAAAGATGTACTGAATAATGATGATAGACTGTCACAGTGACTGCAATGTCAGGTTTAAGCATTTGCTATTAGAGAACTTGTCTGTCTTTTTGCTGTACTGGGATAACTTATGGGTTGCTGTGATGCGGGAAACTATGTCACTGAAGTTTCAAGTGCTAGAAGGATCATCCATGGTGACCTTGCTTCAACAGAGCTCCAAGATTAAAAAAGACTAGGAATCAGGGTTGGCTATCCACTTCTTAAATGGATCTCTGAAAACCTTATGAATGTGACTGCAGCAATGGGCTCAAGTATGTCAGAGATGAGGATGGCACAAGATAGGATTCATATCTATTGATCAAAGGGTCACTATAATTCGACTGAACTCAAAGGCAGCTAACAATGACAATATTATGAAGTCAGAGCAGGATCAGACAGGATTTTGCACTGTCATAAATGAATTTCTGTGAGTAGGAGTCGACTGAAGGGCACATAGCAACAGCAACAAAGAATGGTAACCCATAACTGTCAGTCTTCAGGGAGTCTCTGAGCCTCGATCACTCATTGGATAGAGAATATGTCAATCCTTGAGTCTCAGCAAATGAGCTTTGAGTTGGCCACTGTGACGCAGACGTTACGTATCTCTGCGGTCCCACCCTTTGCAACCAGCCCGCTGAGCATTGTGTCCAGTCCAGAGCCACCTTGGGAAGAGGGCAGCTCTGACAGTGAGTCCCTTGGCCTTGTGGTTGTCCTTGGGTGGTCTCCTCAGACAGCGAGGCCACTTCCAGTCTTGTTCTTTCATCTCTCCTCAGCCAACACTGCCCTTGGCATCATTCGGTGCCAATGGCGTCGCCACAGCCCGATCCCTCCATGTCGGCCCCTGAGAATGGTGACCCAGCAGGCCAGGTGGGTGGAGTGGGAGCTGATAGTGGCAGGGGTGGGATAGTGGGCATCCCTGAGGAGGTGGGGGGCGTCTCTGAGGGGGTAGTGGGAGTCCTGGAAAAGATGGAGGGCAACCCAGAGGAGGTGGGGGGTGACCTGGCGAAAGTGATGGGCGTACCTGAGGGGGGCATCCCCAAGCAGGTGGAGGGAATAACCAAGGAGATGGAGGTGAAGGCTGAGGAGGGGAACGACGTGCCCGAACAGATGGAAAGCATCTCCGAAAAGGTAGGGGGCATCCTGGTGAAGGTGCTGGGCGTGCCGGAGGAGATGAGGGGTGTCTTGGAGGAGATTGAAGTGGTCCCAGAAAAGATGGAGGGCATCCAAGAGGAGATGGGGTGTGTCAGAGGAGATTGAGAGGGTCCCCGAAAAGATGGAGGGGGTCCCAGAGGAAATGGAGGATGCCACTGAGGAGGTGGAGGGCGTCCCCAAGGAGGTAGGGGGAGACATGGCGAAGGTGTTGGGCGCCCCTGAGGAGGTGGGGGGCATCCGTGAGCAAGCAGGTGGACGGTGACATAGAGTCCATGGTGGACGCTCTCAAACAGATGGAGAGCATGCCCGCGGAGGTAGGGGGCTCGCCTGGCGAAGGTGCTGGGCGCTCCAGGAGGAGGTGAGGGGCATCTTGGAGGAGATTGAAAGGGTCCCAGAAAAGATGGAGGGCATCCTTGACAAGGTTGGCGGGGGGAGGAGGGCCCGAGGAAACAAAGGACGTCGCCGAGCCGGTGGAGGAGATAGAGGGCTCCTAGGAGATAGAGGGCGTCCTGGCGAAGGTGCTGGGCGCTCCTGGGGAGGTGAGGGGCGTCTTGGAGGAGATTGTGAGGGGTTCCCAAAAAGATGGAGGGCATCCTTGAGGAGGTGGGGGACACCCCCAAGGAAAAGAAGGACGTTGGCCACCAGGTAGAGGGAGTCCTCGAGGAGGTAGGGGCGTCCTGCCGAATGTGCTGGGCGCCCCTGAGGAGGTGGGGGGCATCTCCGAGCAGGTGGAGATGGTGGTCGCCCCCAAGGAGGACAAGGGCGTGCGCCAGGAGGCGGAGGGCGCCCCTGAGGAGGCAGAGGGCGTCTTGGAGCCGGCAGAGGGCCCGATGCTGCCGTCGGGTGGGCCCGAGGGGCTGCCATCCACGACCCAAGGGCCGGACACCGAGGGCTCAGACACCGGGCTGGCCGAGGAGATCAACGAGGAGGAGGCTGGCGTCCAGGGCGGTGGCGAGAGCACAGCGGACCCATTCCAATTTCCCATGCTGGGTTTACGTTTTGTCTTTCTTGATCTTGTTCACACCCTGCTGCGACGTATATACTACAACCACCAAGTGCTGGTGCGTCCGCGCACAGGTTACCTGATGCTGCGCCCGCGGGCAGGGGTCCCTGAGGGCCTAAATACACTGGCCCAGTTGCCTCCTGTGCAGCCTTCCAGCGGGGGCTGGGGCGAGGGCCTGGCCGCAGGGGCCTTCACTGCTGCGGCCGCCTCCACTGCTGCCGCCGCTGCCTCTGCAGCTGCTGCTGCCGCCCCCCAGGCTGCCCCTCAGGACCCACCGCTACCGCCACCTAAAGACCTTGACCATGAGAGCGCGGGCCAGGCCGAACATGAGCCCCCAGAAGAGACCACATGTTCGCAGATTGAGGAAGCCCTGAAGGACGCCGCAGACCCACAGGGTAAGGAATCCCTGGACCAGACCCCAGCCCACATGGCACCCCAGCTCCTCACCTGCTGTTCAGTGCACACTGGCCTTCAGTGAAGCGGGCAGCACAACCCACTTGGGCCGAAAGTGCTCAATTGGAAGCCCATCAAGCCCCAAGGGAAACCAACCTCCCTCCACCAGTTCTGAGTTGAGATGTGAGGTTATCTGCCATTTATGGTTAACCTTCACTAGGGTAGGTCTTCTGGAGGACTTTTGGGAGCAAATGGCAGCTTGGAGGAAAAGAGGAAACACTTGATATACATCATGTTGGGTGACTGGCTTAAAAAAATAAAAATAAAAAGAGCCTTAGAAATTTGATCCCAAGTATACGTTGACCTGTTATGGGAATACTTGGTAAAAAGGAAATATTCAAGGGTATTGAGGAACTATGACTCACACCATAAAGTTAATCTTTGGGGCAAAGTAATATTTTCTAGCCTAAACAGACAGAATGCAGCCAGACCCCAAGGATTCTGACCCTTTCTTCTCTAAAGGGCCAGAAGTACTTAGCACTTTAAGGTGGGAGACCATGGAGAAAGAGGGAAGTGACGTCACTGCAGACTATGAAGTAGCAGAACTGATGGACAGGGGATGCTCTGTCAATCTGTAGGATGTGAATTTAAATATTTTCCCCATGGGTATCTGATCCTAAATTCTATTTTCTGCACTTAAAAAAGTCAATCAGACTCATCATGGAATTAGTGATGAAGCTATCCAAGTTGATAAGGAAGAGAAAGCCGCAGCAGAGGAGGAAGAAAAGGAAAATGAGGGCGAAGAACCCTAAGCAGATCTGGGTCCAGAGATAAGACCCGGAGAATCCAGGTATCTTTTGTAGCTTTGATTCCGGGGGATCTGGAGTATCACTAAATTCTTTCTGGTATTTACTTTGTTTATGTTTTTCCACTTCTCCCAGTAAATTGCTGTTGTTGTTGTTATGTGCCATTGAGTCTACCAGTACTCATAGCTGACCCTCTAGTGAGTTTTCAGAGGTTGTAAATCACATGGGAGGAGATTAAAATGTAGTCCAATTTATGGAGAATGGGCAATCTCAGGCACCTGATAATATAATATGCAGCCCATTCTACAATACACTTCATTGATCTTGTGAAGTCCATTACCTTCCATCTGTGAGACTACCAACAGAAGGTGAACGTGTCAGATCTAACAGAGAGCGCATCTGTTTAGAAGTATCAGAAGAAGCATGTAATGCAGCTGGGCTGCGCTCTAGACTCTACATTACTTGACCAAGGAATTGAGTCTTCTATACCAACTAGGAGTCAATGATTTTAGGACATGACAAATAGTAAAGAGCTGGGATTTTGAAGTGGAACCTTGTTTAAGGATTGATACCTAAATACTTGTTCAGTCTAAGATTTTTTCTATGACAGTCAAAAGAAACTAGTATATAGTATGACTATTGTCTATCATTGAATCCATATTTAAGTCTTAAGGTATAGCTTACTTTTGAATATATCTCAGTGATAAACTATTTTTGTCATTTCCTCCCTCACTTCTCATTTTCTCAGCTGCTTGTTTTGTAATACATTTTTTCCCAGTACAGTAGCTTTAAAAATTGAAGGACTGGGAGAGTAAAGGAGAGTAAGGGGTTATCATTTGTGGAACCAGCACAGACTTTTAAGGAAAGGCTTATTTAGATTCCAGAGTAGCCAAAAAAACAAAACAAAACAAAAAAACCAAAACAAAACACAAAACACCAAAAAAACCCACCAAAAAACAACCCCACAACAAATCCCCAAGCACTTGTGGTGTTGGAAAATAGAGAGATAGGATGGATCTGTGATCAGGTAATTGATGCCATGTGATGCACAAAGCACCTGGTCATCCAAGGGGTCAAGTTAGTAGAGGAAAAAGTGCCCTTCTCTCCTTGTTGAGATGGAGCAAACAAACACAGTAGATATCCATAGGATTGTTTATATTGAGAAAGTCATAGGTGCTAGTTCATGCTGTATCATTGTTGATTTTCTTCCATTTTAGCCTGCAGTTGGAAGAGAAATTTGAAAGAATGAAGTGAAAAAATCTGAATTTGTTCTTCGCTATTCTAAATATCATTTTCCTGAAGCCAATGGGAACTTCTGTCTGCACAGATACTGTTACAAATGTCATCATCCCAAAACTGATATTCAATTAAATCAAGCTTTATCTCATACCCTTTTAGCTGATAGTGTTGTTCTCTTTACTAAAAATAAGTTTGTTTGAAACAAATGAGCTGAAATATGAGCAGTTATATATTTTATATTGGTTTGCATATAAAATTTGTGTGCCAAGTGTTTCACACTTTTCTTCATTTACATTGTGTTTCATACAATCATTCCCATACATTGTGCTTTATAAAATTAGTCACCACTGAACTATGCCCACCCTTAACCTGTCTTTTCAGGTCCTTGTTGGAGCTTTCCAATTTCCTTTACTCCCTCCTTCCATCCACCAAATTGTGTGATCCTATGATTTACTCCCTGCCTGTCCTCACCCCTCTGCTCCCAATCCTTCCCCCCTTAAACCCTCATACACATTTCACTACTTATCCTATTTTACAATAAGGGTCTTGTACAGTATTTGTCCTTATGAGATGAGTGCATTCAGCATAATGCTTTCCAGTCTCTCCCAAGTTAAGTAGTATTTTTAAAGAACATAATTCTAATCAACTCTCTTTCCCCCTCTCTCTCCTTTGGTTCACTGTTAATAAGTGAATTGTGTTCCCCTAAATTAAATGTTGTAAATCCCCACTTCTATGCCTGTAATTATAAGCCCATTTGGGAATGAGTTGTCTTTGTAATGTTACTGAGATAATATTGTTGGTGTTAAGTGCCTTGGAGTCCAGTAAGACTCAGAGTGACCCTATGAACAATAGAACTGAACCCTATACCATCTTCACCATCTACATGAGCACATTGCTCATAATCACTGTGTTAATCCATCTCATTGAGAGTTCCTCTTTTTCACTGACCTTCCACCTCTCCTAGCAAGATTGCCCTTTCCAAGAAAAAGCTTCTATGCAGATGGCCTCCTCACTGGAAGAGATCTATATTTATTCCCATTAAAAAAAAGTGAGCCGACAGTGTGGAAATTATCAAATAATATCATTAATATCACATGTAAGCAATATTCTGCTGAAGATTATCCAAAAACGACTGAAACAGTACATCAGCAGAGAACTGCCAGAAGTCCAGGCTGAGTTTAGAAGGGGTCGTGGTATTAAGGATATTGTAGCTGATGTTAGATGGTTCTTGGCTGAAAGTAGGGAGTACCAGAAGAATGTCTATGTTTCATTTACTATGCAAATGCATTTGACTGTATGGTCCACAATAAACTGTGGCTAACTCTGAGGAGAATGGGAACAGAACACTTGATTTTGCTTATGAGAAATCTATACTTGGCCCAGGAGACAGTCATCAGAAAACTGCATGGGAACATTGCATGGTTCAAAATTGGGAAGGGTGTATACCAGGGATGTGACCTTTTCAATCTATATGGAGAACAGATTATCCAGGAGACTGGGCTTTATGAGGAGGAATGTGGCATCAGGATTGGAGGAAGACTCATCAACAATCAGTGTTATGCAGATGACGCAACCCTGCTTGCTGAAACTGAGGAGAACCTGAAG